ATTTGATAGATGGGAGAAATCTGTGAATATACTTAACAGTGAGCATCAAGAAAAGTCAGCACTTCTCCAGTGGCGACACTAGCCCCCAAGAGCCTCGCAGTTATCAATCCCGTCCTTTCCACTTGTCGGACAACCTTCACTATCCGGAACTGTTTTACATATTCATCCAGTTGTTCTTTTAAATAGTCTGGAAAAATTAGAATTCAATGCATTTAAGACAGAATAATTGTATTCATTATTCAAAACAATAGCTTACAGCATTATGGGTATTGAGCATCACAATTAAAGAGTGGTTAACAGTTGGTTAAATGTAAATTTTGCCACTTTTTGAATTATAGCTAGTTCAACATACAATGGCAATCAGGCACAAAGTGAAGCTGAAAGAAAGAGGCCATTAATTCTCAGTACAACATTAAAACCAAGCATTGAGGCACGTCAATTTGATCATAGGTATTTCTTTTGTACGTTTGCAACCAAGAGTTGCCAGATCCATCAATGGCTCAGTGAGTACAGGTACCACAGTGCTGAGCTATGCAGGCTAGGTGTTCCAAAATTCAAGCCTTGCTCTGCTATTGACTGAATTTACCTCCATATAGCAGTAGTTGGAGTGTAGCAATTGGCCTTAAGATCGAGGATCCCTTAGCTGGGGATGCTGGGAATTTACAGCAGGTGTGGGGGAGTGGGAAAGAAAATAAATTGTCATCACTACACAAAAATTCTAGTTGGAAAGTGTATTTATACTGACAGAGAGAACTGATTTGGGTGTAATGCTGTCCATCGTAGAAATAGACTAATCAGTCACAAGAATATGTGTTGAGCAAGATATCAGCGAGGATATTATTAAGCTGGAGAGGGTTCAGAAAAAAATTTACCAGGATGTTGCTGGGAATGAAAGTTCAAATTTATAAGGGGAGAGTGGATAGGCTGGTACTTTTTCCCACTGGAGCATAGGAGTAACCTTACAGAGGTTGATAAAATCACAAGGGGGTATAAATAAGGTGAATGGCAGCTGTCTTTGCCCTAGGGTGGGGGATTTCAAGACTAGGGGCATAGTTTTAAGATGAGAGGAGGATTTTTAAAAGAAAAGACGACATGACAGGCAACTTTTTTTTTTAAGAACAGAGTGGTTCGTATATGGAATTTCAGAGGAAGTGGTGGATGCAGGTGCAGTTACAATGTTTAAAGCACTTTTGGACAAGTACATAAGTAAAAAATGTTTGGAGGGATATGGGCTTAGCACAGGCAGGTGAGACTAGTTTAGTTTGGGATTATGGTTGGTGTGGACTAACTGGACCAAAGGGTCTGTTTCTGTGCTGTCTGACTCTATGACTGAGAACCTGTTAAAGTGTAGTTATGAGTAGATGCACTTTGTTGGGGTGAGTTTATTGAAAATTTCAAGGCTACTAGTTTAAGCATGAAAATGTTGTGACAGTTAGAATACAATCTGACCAAAATGTACAAATAATTTGTAGGTTAGCCACTCAAGACCTGTCCAATAACCAGGCTGCCTTTAACTGCCCCCATCAGAGGCGGTTTAACCTGATTTCATTTTTTTTTAAACAAAGGTTTTAAATTATAAAAAGGTAATTCAGTTAGACTCTCAGCAAATGGACTACTGAAGCAAATTGACAAAGAAATATTTTAAATTTGGGACAGTGTTTGTATTCTATGAACAGGAATCAGTTATATAATCAGCAAAGCTGAGCTCATTTAGCAGTTTCAATTTTCTGGTTAAATGGTCATAAGATTTCAAAACTAATAGAAACAGTTTATTTTTACACCGCTGCATCACTCCAGTCATCCATCCATCCTTTCACCTTCCTACCCATATCCTAAATTCTAGATTTTAGTTGGGCTGTGGAGGAGTGGTACCAAATATAGCTGGGATGGGATTTTGCTGATAAAGTTGGGAGAAGGAAAGATGATCAGCTTAAAGTGACAAGAAATTGCTAGAAATATACCAAGACTAAAAAAAACACTTGAATGGAGGACAGTTTATGCATAAACATGGTTTGCGACCCCTTGAGTTTACGAGGGTAAGGGATGGTCTGTTGGAGGTGTAAAAAAGATTAAAATGAATTCAATAGAGCAGATACAGGCCATGTCCTCTGGTGGGATAATTCTGAACAAAAAGATTCTAATCTCAAAATTAGGACGGACTCTTGGGCATAACATCAGGAAAATGACACTGACACACACATGCTCAGACACAATTGAAAATCTGGCTGGGTTCATTGAACTTTTCAAGACCAAAACTGACACTATTTGTTAGACATGAGAAATATGGAACAAAAGCAGAGTTCAAGTGTATGTTGCTTTATTACTGCTTTAAGAGCTGGATAAGCTAATAAGTCAAGGACCAAGATGGAACCACATGACCAATCATCATGTGGAGTCCAGAGAGGTCAGCCAGAGTTGGGATGCTTAGTTATCTGTAATTGCAAGTTGTAGTCAGAGTTATTAGTTGAGATTCAAGTAAGCTGAATCCACACTATTAAATCTGAGTTGTTTTCTGATTGCCCAAAAAAAAACAACATGGTGATCAATAGTGTTTTTTTAAAAAAAAAACAACAAAATAGTATGCAAGCTTGAAAATCACAGAAACAGGATTCAGATAAGACTTGAAGCTGTTGCATTTATGACGAGGCTCCAGGAAAAAAAAAAATTACACGGAAAGCGAGTGCTTGATTTGTGAGCCTTTTTAAGCACAGAGTTTGATCCAAATTGGGCTGTAGAAGTTACAGGGCCATAAAGACAACTTCAGGTGTGCTTGTGCAGAAAGGAAAATAAAGCAGACAAGGCAAAAAAGCAGTTCAGAAAAGAAGAACTTGGAAACTCAGGGTATTTATTTTTAATATTTTTAAAAATTCTATAGTAGCTGTATTGCTGAATCTCTGCACAGTGTAACCTTGTAGCAGCAAGGCTACTACACATCCCCTAGACATTTATAGCACTTGCTAAAGAAAAGGTAAATCAGAAATATGGCTAAATTCTCTTGCACATATTAGAAAACCACAGATGTCCTATTCCAATTTTGGTTCTCTACACAAAGAATAGGGCTTTGCTTTTTAGATTGAGTTGTTGCAAAACCAGAGAAGAAAGCAGTGAAAATAAATATAGCCATTGGAAACGAGGGGTTGCAGAGACAACACTTCAGGTTCATCTTAAGAGGATCAGAGAGATCTTGGTAAGCAATGGAAAATGCTGGAAAACCAGTATAAACCTAAACTTTAGAATTCACTTTCTGGAGCTCATCTCTACAGATAACAGCCACTAGAATCAATTACTCAGTTTGTCATTCGGTGCCATACCAAGGGCAATTACTGAATTTTAAGAGACTGAGCTATCTCAGTGGAGATGGTTACAGCTTATCAAAAAACTTTCCAAAACTACTTGTTGAAGAAAAAAAGAGTATAACACACTGCTTAAAGATAGCAGAAAACACGAAGCCAATGCAGCCCAATAACATCATCTGCAATCATTACAGTAACCAGTATTGGCAAGTAGCCAGGATACAGAAAGCAAGTAACTGGTGTTGAAAGTGTGACCTGTTGCAGTCTCTGTGAAGGTGTCCTGCATTCCAAGATCTTTGCAAGTCATGTGGTGAAAAGAACACTGGGCTTGCCTATGCAAGAAATCTGGTTCCAAAGATACAGCCAGAAGTCATATTAGGATACAACCAAACAAAAGATATGTGCAGCTTGTAGGCAGCAACAACAGGGAGTATCTCAGAGACCTGCAGAAGTTCAGGCACATGAAACAGACCAGGGTGAAGATTCAAAATGGAAGGCAAACAGGCATTCCACATTGTCCATGTAACGTGTCATGTTCACAAAGTCAAACAGTAAGAAGGTTATGTCATGATTAACATCATATGTTCTCAGAAAATACGTGTGGGGCAAAATCAGTCATAAAATTGACACTGGAGCAAATGCAAACATCCTACCAGTCAGAATCCTGATGAATATGGACCTGTACTGATTATAAATCGATGGTAAACCTCTGACAACAGAATTAACTGTATATAATGGACGCCCATCCCTTGCACTGGTACATTGATGATGAAATAAGGCTATGACAATTCTGCATGGAAACCATAAGTATACTGCCTGGCAGACAGGAGTAGACCAGCAATAGCAGGATTACAGGCTTGCATGGATCTCAACATTGTGACCAATCATAGAATCATAAAAATTACAATTGTAACAGAAGAGACCAAGAATAATTGCATGGAGTCAGTCTAGGACTTGCAACTATTCTACGGAGACAAATTTAACGTAGTAGGAAATTTGAAAGGAAATACTACATTGCATCTCTGAGAAGATGCAATTTCAATCAACTTTTTCAAAAATGCAGTGCTCATATACAAGAGAAGCTCAAGCATAAGCTGGACAATATGGGACATAATGGCATTATTTGTCTTGTATATCAGCACACAGACTGGTGCATTTCTGTTACGTGTACGCTAAAGAAAGTTAGCACAATCATGGTATGTTTTGCCCAAGACATCTAAACCTTTTTCTAAAGAGATGCCTGCACAAATTTCTAATGAGAGGGGAATTTATTTTTAAAAACATATTCATAGAAAGAGGGCATCGCTGGCTAGGCCAGCATTTATTACACATCCCTAGCTACATTTGAGTCACTTAGATCACTTGGTGTAGGTATACTCACAATTAGGGCAAGAGTTCCAGCATTTTGATCCAGCAACACTGAAGGAACTGTGATGTATTTCCAAGTCAGGATGGGGAGTGGCTTAGAGAGGATTTTGCAAGTGGTGGTGTTCTCGTGCATTTGCTACCTTGCCCTTCTAAATGGAAAAAGATTGTGGGTTTTAAGGAGCCTTGGTGAATTTCTGCAGTGCTTCTTGTAAATCGTACACACTGCTAACAATGAACACTGGTAGTAGAGGAAATGGATGTGGTTCCAATCAATCAAGCGGGCTGTTTTGTCCTGCATGGTGTCAAGATTCTTGATTTGGAGATGTACTCATCCAGGCAAGTGGGAAGTATTCCATCATACTCCTACCTTGTCATCCATCCATATGTTTATCCAATGACCATTTAAATGCCCTTAAAGTTGGGGAGTATAGAACATAGAACATTACAGCGCAGTACAGGCCCTTCGGCCCTCGATGTTGCGCCGACCTGTGAAACCAATCTGAAGCCCATCTAACCTAAACTATTC